AGAGGAGCTGGTAGGTGGGGGAACTGGCAGGGTTGGAGGTCTCGTAGCTACTCGAGAATAAGTAATATGAGGAAGATTCCCCTGAAAGTGGAGCCAAGAGCCAGGCATAGCATAAGTAAGGTTTCACATTCATTAAGATAGACCTGACACTGGCTGGAAAAAGAAGGATGAGTTTCATTGCAATTAAGACAAGTGGGGGAAGACTGCAAGATGTGTCGCCATGATCCTTGGCACTGCAGAACGGGCACTCTGCCACAAACCTGCACTATTTAGCAGAATGTCCGAAGTGCCAACAATTTCGACACTGAGTGTAGGGACCACTTTATGAACCCCTAGGCTATGTCCCGCGATGTAAACAGAGGACGGGAGTTCATGACAGTCAAAGGTTATGTGGGCGATGTTACTGGGAAAGCGCCTGTGGCCACGAGCGGGCAGGACATGTGAATCCACTTTGAGAATAGGAAGGTCCTGAAGGGCTAATTGCTTTAAAATATCATCAGTTCAAGTCAAAAAAATGACACTGCATAATAGTACATGGTAAGACCGCTGTACCACTGCAAAAACTGAGAGTAGTGTGGTTGTGAACTGTGACAGGAACATTATCAATGGAAGTAAGATTGGAGAGATCATTAGCTTGATCTGCATTCTGAACTGTAATGATGCACTCACTGACCCGAAGAGTATGAAAGGATATATTTTGGCCAACATGCCGTAAAAGAGCATTACCAACACTGTGGTCTGAAAGATAATCAGTTGGAAACGTCGGTTGTAAGGAAAAGAATTTGGTCCACTGTGTATTGTAAACGTGGTGCACAAAGAAAGTGGGTGCTGTGTAAGTTGTTTCTTGGTGGAATGAGCATAAATCGAAGAACCGTCGTCAGCTTATGGTCTGGAATGTTTAGGTGTTGGACTGCGGGTGGCCTGACCTGAGGCAGGAGGGCGACCCAAAAAACTGCCGCCCCATATTTGGGAAAGCTGGGTGCATCGTTAAAGACATGTAAGAGGAAGAGGCTCTAGAAGAAATGGGAGGAGCCTTGGCACCAGCAAGAAATACAGGGGTATGGGAAAAGTCTAGAGAATGGTCCAATAACGAAGCCTGGCCAGAACAGAATGCGAAAACAAAAAGGGGCCTGGGAGGAGGAGGGGGGTGATGGAACGAAGACTCCATGATGTTGGTACTTATTATTATTTTAAGAAAAAAAAAAGAAAGAAGTAAAGAGGCCCTCAATACCACCAGCAGTACAGATGCAGAGTGGAACCCGTGACATACCCTACCCTTCACCTCAGTAAACCAGTTCTCTAGGATAGCAATCTCACATCCATAGAGCCACCTCGGTGGACAAAACAGGGTTGTTGGATACCCACCACAAAGCGTTCCTCCTTTGGCTGCCACTTCTCAGAATCGACAGGCAGCCTCTGTAGATACACCCGTCACCGTCACTACGTCACTACATGTCACTTGTTACACCAGAACCGTCAGTAAATGGCACTTGTCACACCCCACCGTCACTACATATCACCTGTCACACCACACCGTCACTACATGTCACCTGTCATGCCACACTGTCATTTCATGGCACCTGTCACACTACACCGTCACTACATGTTAAATGTCACACCCCACCATCACCACATGTCACCTGTCACACCCCACCATCACCACATGTCTCCTGTTATGCCACACTGTCACTACATGGCACCTGTCACACAACACCGTCACTACATGTTAAATGTCACACCCCACCATCACCACATGTCACCTGTCACACCCCACCATCACCACATGTCACCTGTCACACCCCACCATCACCACATATCACCTGTCACACCCCACCGTCACCACATGTCACTTGTCACAACCCCACCATCACCACATGTCACCTGTCCACAACCCCACCATCACCACATGTCACCTGTCACACCCCACCATCACCACATGTCACCTGTCACACCCCACCATCACCACATGTCACCTGTCACACCCCACCATCACCACATGTCACCTGCCACACCCCACCGTCACCACATGTCACCTGTCACACTACACCGTCACCACATGTCACCTGTCACACCCCACCATCGCCACATGTCACCTGTCACACTACACCGTCAGCACATGTCACCTGTCACACTACACCGTCACCACACGTCACCTGTCACACCCCACCGTCACCACATGTCACCTGTCACACTACACCGTCACCACACGTCACCTGTCACACCCCACCATCACCACATGTCACCTGTCACACCCCACCATCACCACATGTCACCTGTCACACCCCACCATCACTACATGTCACCTGTCACACCCCACGGTCAACACATGTCACCTGTCACACTACACCGTCACCACATATCACCTGACACACTACACCGTCACCACACGTCACCTGTCACACTACACCGTCACCACATGTCACCTGTCACACTACACCGTCACCACACGTCACCTGTCACACTACACCGTCACCACATGTCACCTGTCACACCCCACCATCACTACATGTCACCTGTCACACCCCACCGTCAACACATGTCACCTGTCACACTACACCGTCACCACACGTCACCTGTCACACCTCTGCATTACGACTCTAGATGCCACAAACAGCTTCATTTAATGAACATCCTGAAGTGTTCCTATCTTTATCTCCATCCTGTATTTCCTTTATTTAAACATATTGATGTAAATCCGAGTAATATTTTAACCTTAATACATATATTTATGCATTGATGTATTGACATTAAGTGTCTACTAATGGGAACTCCAAACAAATAATACATTATTTGTTTTTTGCAAATATACAGAATATAAAGCCACTAACCTGCAACACAATATCAGTCGACTTCTCACAGAATTCAAATGCAATGTTTGTGGCTCTCACAGAGACCCACAGAAATTATCATAAGTTCTATTCATATTCTATATGATCAAGTTCTTCATTATTCGGTTTACGTGAATCGTTATTCATCAGCACTTATAATTCATTTTCCAAACTATACTCAGATTTCTTTTTCCAAACTATTTGCTTTGAGTTATCTGGTTGATCTCAGTTATTTTCATTGAGTTAATTATTGTTAATAGTTAACTTTATCTTCTGGGTTTTTAATAAATATTAGTTGTGGTATCGGGGTATGAAAACATTGGGATCATCCTGGTTTATTAGCATCATTAAAATCCTAGTAAGTTGGTTATTCCTGGGCAATTGGTACCATCACTCAGGGGATAACAATCCTGGTATATCCTAGGTTATGTACGCTCAGGGACAACAATCCTGGTATATCCTGGGTTATGTACACTCAGGGGATAACAATCCTGGTATATCCTGGGTTATGTACACTCAGGGGACAACAATCCTGGTATATCCTGGGTTATGTACACTCAGGGGATAACAATCCTGGTGTATCCTGGGTTATGTACACTCACTGGACAACAATCCTGGTAAATCCTGGGTTATGTACACTCAGGGGATAACAGTCCTGATATATCCTGGGTTATGTACACTCAGGGGATAACAATCTTGATATATCCTGGGTTATGTACACTCAGGGGACAACAATCCTGGTATATCCTGGGTTATGTACACTCAAGGGATAACAATCCTGGTATATCCTGGGTTATGTTCCATTCTGAATGTATCACTCAGGGGATAATAATCCTGGTAAAATCCTAGGCTATGTACACTCTGGGGATAACATTCCGGGTCAATATCCTGGGTATATGTACACTCAGGGGATAACAATCCTGGTATATCCTGGTTATGTAGACTCAGGGGATAACAATCCTGGCATATCCTGGGTTATGTTCACTCAGGGATAACAATCCTGGTATATCCTGGGTTATGTACACTCAAGGGACAACAATTCTGGTATATCCTGGGTTATGTACACTCAGGGGATAACAATCCTGTATATCCTGGGTTATGTACACTCAGGGGATAACAATCCTGGTATATCCTGGGTTATGTAGACTCAGGGGATAACAATCCTGGCATATCCTGGGTTATGTTCACTCAGGGGATAACAATCCTGGAATATCCTGGGTTATGTAACTCAGGGATAACAATCCTGGTATATCCTGGGTTAATGTACACTCAGGGGATAATAATCCTGGTATATCCTGGGTTATGTACACTCAGGGGATATCAATCCTGGCATATCCTGGGTTATGTTCACTCAGGGGATAACAATCCTGGTATATCCTGAGTTACGTACACTCAGGGGATAACAATCCTGGCATATCCTGGGTTATGTTCACTCAGGGGATAACAATCCTGGAATATCCTGGGTTATGTTCACTCAGGGGATAACAATCCTGGCATATCCTGGGTTATGTACGCTTAGGGGTAACAATCCTTGCATATCCTTGCTTATGTACACTCATGGGATATCAATTCTGGTATATCATGGGTTATGTACACTTGGGGGATAACATTCCTGGCATATCCTGGATTATATACGCTCAGGGGATAACAATCCTGGCATATCCTGGGTTATGTTCACTCAGGGGATATCAATCCTGGTATATCCTGGGTTATGTACACTCATGGGATATCAATCCTGGTATATCCTGGGTTATGTTCACTCAGGGGATAACAATCCTGACATATCCTGGGATTTTATCATTTTATAATAAATGGGACACACTGTACAATGTATTTAAAAAAAATTGTAATCTTAGAATATTCTAAAAACTTGAAGATATAAAAGTTATGAAATAGTTACACCTGTTGACGTCAGATTGTGTTGCCCCTCACTTATATAAAAAAAATCCCTTACGTAATTAATGTCTTTATTACATTCAGCTGAAAGAATTAAAGACTGTGGTGACATCCATCACTTTGGGAATGGAAGGTAATCAAGTTTACGTCAAGGAATGATGGTTTAAATAACTTGGATCAAACTCCTTCACCGGCATCGGGGCACCCCTTAAAGAGTAGCAATATCATAAAATACACTATTGTTATTTAGTGTTACATAACGCCATCTATTTTCAGATAATCGACCAACTGCGGGTGTTGTATAAGGATGTTGACGACATCGATATATTCATTGGTGGTATCGCAGAGCGACCCACTGCAGGCTCCCTCCTGGGTCACACCTTCCTCTGTATAGTTGGAGACCAGTTTGCTCGCCTCAGGGTACGTATAGTGGGAGGCTACCCACGCTTCGGGTGGGTTAGAATCCATGGCAAGTGTGCCGTGAAACTCCAGGCCAGTGCGTAAGCCACTGGGCCAGCTGGTTACAATAAGATTCATCCAACTAGGTATATTTATACACCACTGGAAGGTTAGCATGGGCCACCACTGTGACCACAAATGCAAGTTTTTACAGATGAATCTCCCTTCCAGCGTGGCCGTGACGCACTACCATCAAGTTGTACGACGCACCTGCCGTGAGTTCTAACTCCACCCGTTCAACGGTTTGTTTGTAATCGAGTTATTATGATTTCCAAGCGTAGGAATAGTTTTTTCTCCCACAGTTTTTATATTTGGGGGACCAGTGTTGCTCTCCTCACAGTATGTACAGTGGGAACCCTGTTTGCTCTCCTCAGAGTATGTTATGGGAGCCCAGTGGCTCTCCTCAGAGTATGTACGTGGGGGCCCCTGGTTTATCTCCCAAGTATGTACAGTGGGAGACCGATGCTCCCCTCCAGTATGTACAGTGGGGAGACCATGTGCTCTCCCAGAGTATGTCAGGGGAACCGTGTGCCCCCTCAGAGTTGTATAGGGGGAGACCAAGTGCTCTCCTCACAGTATGTAAGTGGGGGACCAGAGGCTCTCCCCGAGTATGTTAGTGGGGACATGGCTCTCCTCAGAGTATGTTAGTGGGGAAACCCTGTGCTTCCCCCGAGTATGCAGTGGGAGACCAGTGTGCTTCCTCAGAGTATGTAAAGTGGGGGACCAGTGTGCTCCTCACAGTTGTATAGGGGGAACCGGTGTTCCTCAGAGTATTAAGTGGGAGACCCCTTTTGCTCTCCTCACAGTATGTCAGTGGGAACCCAGTGTGCCTCCCCCACATATGTACGGGGGGAGACCCGAGTGTTCCCTCACAGTATGTACAGGGGAGACCAAGGGGCCTCCTCACAGTATGTACAGTGGGAGACCAGGTGCTCTCCTCAAGATGTATGTGGGAAAACCAGAGTGCTCTCCTCAAGTATGTATAGGGGAGACCAGAGGCTCTCCTCAGAGTAAGTATAGGGGGGCCAAGTGCTCTCCTCAGAGTATGTACATGGGAACCGTTTCTCTCCCCAAGTATGTATAGTGGGGAGACCCCTTGTTTCTCTCCTCAGAGTTGTTTTTTTGGGGGCCGAGTGCTCTCCTCCAGTAGTACATGGGGACCAAGTGCTCTCCTCAGAGTTGTACAGTGGGGACCAAAAGCTCTCCTCAAGTATGTATATGGGAGACCAAGTGCTTCCCAGAGTATGTATAGTGGGGGAAACCGTGTGCTCTCCCACAGATGATAGTGGGGGACCCGAGGCCTCCAGAGTAGTACAGTGAGGACCAGTGGCTTTCCACCTGACTTTTTTTCCCCACCTGACAGTGCCTCCACCTGACTAGTGCCTCCACCGACTAGTGCCTCCACCAAAACTAGCCCTCCACCTGATAGTCCTCCCCCCTAATAGTGCCTCCACCTGACGGCCTCCCCCGACCCCTTCTTCCACCTACTAGTGCCTCCACCGACAGTGCCCCCCCCCCTGCATGCCTCCACTTTACTGTGCCTCCACCTGATTTTGCCCTCCCCCTGAAGTCCTCCACCTGACTAGTGCCTCCACCTGACTAGTAGCTCCACCTGACTAGTGCCTCCACCAGACTAGTGCCTCCACCTGACTAGTGCTTCCACCTGACTAGTGCCTCCACCTGACCAGTGCCTCCACCTGACTTGTGCCTCCACCTGACTTGTGCCTCCACCTGACTAGTGCCTCCACCTGACTAGTGCCTCCACCTGACTAGTGCTTCCACCTAACTAGTGCCTCCACCTGACTAGTGCCTCCACCTGACTAGTGCCTCCACCTGACTAGTGCCTCCACCTGACTAGTGCCTCCACCTGACTAGTGCCTCCACCTAACTAGTGCCTCCACCTGACTAGTGCCTCCACCTGACTAGTGCCTCCACCTGACTAGTGCTTCCACCTGACTAGTGCCTCCACCTGACTAGTGCCTCCACCTGACTAGTGCCTCCACCTGACTAGTGCCTCCACCTGACTAGTGCTTCCACCTGACCAGTGCGTCCACCTGACTAGTGCCTCCACCTGACCAGTGCCTCAACCTAACTAGTGCCTCCACCTGACTAGTGCTTCCACCTGACCAGTGCCTCCACCTGACCAGTGCCTCCACCTGACTAGTGCCTCCACCTGACTAGTGTCTCCGCCTGACTAGTATCTCCACCTGACTAGTGCCTCCACCTCACTATTGCCTCCACCTGACTAGTGCCTCCACCTGACTAGTGCTTCCACCTGACCAGTGCCTCCACCTGACCAGTGCCTCCACCTGACTAGTGCCTCCACCTGACTAGTGTCTCCACCTGACTAGTGTCTCCACCTGACTAGTGCCTCCACCCCACTATTGCCTCCACCTGACTAGTGCCTCCACCTGACTAGTGCCTCCACCTAACTAGTGCCTCCACCTGCTTAGTGCCTCCACCTGACTATTGCCTCAACCTGACTATTGCCTCCACCTGGGTAGTGCCTCCACCTGACTAGTGCCTTCACTTGATTAGTGCCTCCACCTGACTAGTGCCTCCACCTGACTAGTACCTCTACCTGACTAGTGCCTCCACCTGACTAGTGCCTCAACCTTACTAGTGCCTCCACCTGACTAGTGCCTCCACCTGACTAGTGCCTCCACCTGACTAGTGTCTCCACTTGACTAGTGCCTCCACTTGACTAGTGCCTCCACCTAACTAGTGCCTCCACCTGCTTAGTGCCTCCACCTGACTATTGCCTCAACCTGACTATTGCCTCCACCTGGCTAGTGCCTCCACCTGACTAGTGCCTTCACTTGATTAGTGCCTCCACCTGACTAGTGCCTCCACCTGACTAGTACCTCTACCTGACTAGTGCCTCCACCTGACTAGTGCCTCCACCTGACTAGTGCCTCCACCTGACTAGTGCCTCCACCTGACTAGTGCCTCCACCTGACTAGTGTCTCCACTTGACTAGTGCCTCCACTTGACTAGTGCCTCCACCTAACTAGTGCCTCCACCTGCTTAGTGCCTCCACCTGACTATTGCCTCCACCTGGCTAGTGCCTCCACCTGACTAGTGCCTTCACTTGATTAGTGCCTCCACCTGACTAGTGCCTCCACCTGACTAGTGCCTCCACCTGACTAGTGCCTCCACCTGACTAGTGTCTCCACTTGACTAGTGCCTCCACCTGACTATTGCCTCCACCTGGCTAGTGCCTCCACCTGACTAGTGCCTCCACCTAACTAGTGCCTCCACCTGACTAGTGCCTCCACCTGACTAGTGTCTCCACTTGACTAGTGCCTCCACCTGACTATTGCCTCCACCTGGCTAGTGCCTCCACCTGACTAGTGCCTCCACCTAACTAGTGCCTCCACCTGACTAGTGCCTCCACCTGACTAGTGCCTCCACCTGACTAGTGCCTCCACCTGACTAGTGCCTCCACCTGACTAGTACCTCTACCTGACTAGTGCCTCCACCTGACTAGTGCCTCCACCTGACTAGTGCCTCCACCTGACTAGTGCCTCTACCTGACTAGTACCTCTACCTGACTAGTGCCTCCACCTGACTAGTGCCTCCACCTGACTAGTGCCTCCACCTGACTAGTGCCTCCACCTGACTAGTGCCTCCACTTGACTAGTGCCTCCACTTGACTATGTGCCTCACCCTGACTAGTGCCTCCACCTGACTAGTGCCTCCACCTGACTAGTGCCTCCACCTGACTAGTGCCTCCACTTGACTAGTGCCTCCACTTGACTAGTGCCTCCACCTGACTAGTGCCTCCACCTGACTAGTGCCTCCACCTGACTAGTGCCTCCAGCCCTGACTAGTGCCTCCACCTGACTAGTGCCTCCACCTGACTAGTGCCTCCACCTGACTAGTGCCTCCACCTGACTAGTGCCTCCACCTGACTAGTACCTCCACCTGACTAGTGCCTCCACCTGACTAGTACCTCCACCTGACTAGTGCCTCCACCTGACTAGTGCCTCCACCTGACTAGTACCTCCACCTGACTAGTGCCTCCACCTGACTAGTACCTCCACCTGACTAGTGCCTCCACCTAACTAGTGCCTCCACCTGACTAGTACCTCCACCTGACTACACCCACACCACTACCCTCATTAAGTTCAGTATATTTATCAACACTATTACGTTCAACATCATCGAGTCCCTGACCCCATTATGTTCTTCTGTAATCTTATGACTAAACGCTGACCCAGTTCCTACCTTCAACTCTTCCACCTTAGTTGTTCAACATGACTTAAGAAATCGTAATGACACGATTGCAAATAAACCATACCCCCGGCCGGGATTGAACCCGCGGTCATAGAGTCTCAAAACTCCAGCCCGTCGCGCTAGCCACTAGACCAGCTAGCCACAATAAGATTCATCCAACTAGGTATATTTCTACACCATAGGAAAGTTAGCACAGGCACCTCTGTGACCACAAATGCAAGTTTTTACAGACGAATCTCCAGCTAGCGTGGCCGTGACGAACTCTAGCTCAAGTCCCTTCACTGCCGTCAACATGACTTAAGAAATCGTAATGACACGATTGCAAATAAACCATAGCCCCGGCCGGGATTGAACCCGCGGTCATAGAGTCTCTATGACCGCGGGTTCAATCCCGGCCGGGGGTATGGTTTAGTTGTTCAATATCTGGCTAGTTCCTTTTTCGAAGATGTACGGGTAGACGTAGAATTTTTTTTGAAATTTCTGTTGTGGATATTTTTTTGTTATTTTTTATGTCTGTAGTCACCGATTTTATAGCAGTTGCTTGGACAAGTAACATACTGAGGCAAGTTCCCAGGACTTATTATGTGTGTCAGTAATGTTTTGCTATATCCCACAGAATGGTTGTGAGGTGACTACCGCTCACAGAATGTAAGGTGACTGCCGTTCACAGAATGTTAGGTGACTGACGCTCACAGAATGTGAGGTGACTGCCGCTCACAGAATGTGAGGTGACTGCCCCTCACAGAATGTGAGGTGACTGCCGCTCACAGAATGTGAGGTGACTGCCGCTCACTGAATGTGAGGTGACTGCCGCTCACAGAATGTGAGGTGACTGCCCCTCACAGAATGTGAGGTGACTGCCGCTCACAGAATGTAAGGTGACTGCCGTTCACAGAATGTGAGGTGACTGCCGCTCACAGAATGTGACGTGACTGCCGCTCACAGAATGTGACGTGACTGCCGCTCACAGAATGATGAGGTGACTGCCGCTCACAGAATGTGAGGTGACTGCCCCTCACAGAATGTGAGGTGACTGCCGCTCATTGTATGTGAGGTGACTGCCGCTCACAGAATGTGAGGTGACTGCCGCTCACAGAATGTGAGGTGACTGCCCCTCACAGAATGTGAGGTGACTGCCGCTCACAGAATGTGAGGTGACTGCCGCACACATGAAGTCCATAAAATCATTGTCGAAGTAACTTTCCTCATGTTTTCAACAGGTGGGCGACAGATTCTACTACGAGAATGGTGGGTTAGAATCCTCGTTCACAGAGGCCCAGCTAGAACAGATCAAACGCACCAGCTTGGCCAGGATAATATGTGACAATTCTGACAACTTGGAGATGATGCAACCATTAGCCTTCGTTCAAGCTGAGCTGGTGTAAGTACCAATTATTTACCAATACAAACATTATGAAGGGAAACTAAATTCCTAGCGCTTTAGCGATAACTCAATCAATTTCTCAAAAAACAGTGTTCCTGGAGAAAGTCAGTGATGTCTTACTACCTTCATTATTATTATTATTATTATTATTATTATTATTATTATTATTATCTCTCGATTTTCTTGCCTAAATATTCTTAGTTTGTTAGGAGATAAGTTACTTTTCACTGCTTATTAAGGGAAATAAGAGACAAATGTGAGAAGTAACATCACGGCTTCTGTACTAGGCAATATTCACACTGGTAAATGTATAGCAACGATTTATGTTCCTTAGTTAATAAGTACTTAAAGATGCACGTCTCTCGGTGCATGTGTCCTGATACACATCTCTCAGTGCATGTGTCCTGAACATTCATATCAACCATCTCTCAGTGCATGTTCCTGATACACATCTCTCAGTGCATGTGTCCTGATACACATCTCTCAGTGCAGGGTTCCTGATACACATCTCTCAGTGCAGGGTCCTGATACACATCTCTCAGTGCATGTGTCCTGATACACATCTCTCAGTGCATGTGTCCTGATACACATCTCTCAGTGCATGTGTCCTGATACACATCTCTCAGTGCATGTGTCCTGATACACATCTCTCAGTGCATGTGTCCTGATACACATCTCTCAGTGCATGTGTCCTGATACACAACTCTCAGTGCATGTGTCCTGATACACAACTCTCAGTGCATGTGTCCTGATACACATCTCTCAGTGCATGTGTCCTGATACACATCTCTCAGTGCATGTGTCCTGATACACATCTCTCAGTGCATGTGTCCTGATACACATCTCTCAGTGCATGTGTCCTGATACACATCTCTCAGTGCATGTGTCCTGATACACATCTCTCAGTGCATGTGTCCTGATACACATCTCTCAGTGCATGTGTCCTGATACACAACTCTCAGTGCATGTGTCCTGATACACATCTCTCAGTGCATGTGTCCTGATACACATCTCTCAGTGCATGTGTCCTGATACACATCTCTCAGTGCATGTGTCCTGATACACATCTCTCAGTGCATGTGTCCTGATACACATCTCTCAGTGCATGTGTCCTGATACACATCTCTCAGTGCATGTGTCCTGATACACATCTCTCAGTGCATGTATCCAGAGTGATACACATCTCTCAGTGCATGTGTCCTGATACATATCTCTCAGTGCATGTGTCCTGATACACATCTCTCAGTGCATGTGTCCTGATACATATCTCTCAGTGCATGTGTCCTGATACACATCTCTCAGTGCATGTGTCCAGAGTGATACACATCTCTCAGTGCATGTGTCCTGATACAATCTCTCAGTGCATGTGTCCTTGATACACATCTCTCAGTGCATGTGTCCAGAGTGATACACATCTCTCAGTGCATGTGTCCTGATACACATCTCTCAGTGCATGTGTCCTGATACACATCTCTCAGTGCATGTGTCCTGATACACATCTCTCAGTGCATGTGTCCTGATACACATCTCTCAGTGCATGTGTCCTGATACACATCTCTCGGTGCATGTGTCCTGATACACATCTCTCAGTGCATGTTTTCCCTGATACACATCTCTCAGTGCATGTGTCCTGATACACATCTCTCAGTGCATGTGTCCTGATACACATCTCTCAGTGCATGTGTCCTGATACACATCTCTCAGTGCATGTGTCCTGATACACATCTCTCAGTGCATGTGTCCTGATACACATCTCTCAGTGCATGTGTCCTGATACACATCTCTCAGTGCATGTGTCCTGATACACATCTCTCAGTGCATGTGTCCTGATACACATCTCTCAGTGCATGTGTCCTGATACACATCTCTCAGTGCATGTGTCCTGATACACATCTCTCAGTGCATGTGTCCTGATACACATCTCTCAGTGCATGTGTCCTGATACACATCTCTCAGTGCATGTGTCCTGATACACATCTCTCAGTGCATGTGTGCTGATACACATCTCTCAGTGCATGCGTCCTGATACACATCTCTCAGTGCATGTGTCCAGAGTGATACACATCTCTCAGTGCATGTGTCCTGATACACATCTCTCAGTGCATGCGTCCTGATACACATCTCTCAGTGCATGTGTCCAGAGTGATACACATCTCTCAGTGCATGTGTCCTGATACACATCTCTCAGTGCATGCGTCCTGATACACGTCTCTCAGTGCATGTGTCTTGATACACGTCTCTCAGTGCATGCGTCCTGATACACATCTCTCAGTGCATGTGTCCTGAGTGATACACATCTCTCAGTGCATGTGTCCTGATACACATCTCTCAGTGCATGTGTCCTGATACACATCTCTCAGTGCATGTGTCCTGATACACATCTCTCAGTGCATGTGTCCTGATACACATCTCTCAGTGCATGTGTCCTGATACACATCTCTCAGTGCATGTGTCCTGATACACATCTCTCAGTGCATGTGTCCTGATACACATCTCTCAGTGCATGTGTCCTGATACACATCTCTCAGTGCATGTGTCCTGATACACATCTCTCAGTGCATGTGTCCTGATACACATCTCTCAGTGCATGTGTCCTGATACACATCTCTCAGTGCATGTGTCCTGATACACATCTCTCAGTGCATGTGTCCTGATACACATCTCTCAGTGCATGTGTCCTGATACACACCTCTCAGTGCATGCGTCCTGATACACATCTCTCAGTGCATGTGTCCTGATACACATCTCTCAGTGCATGTGTGCTGATACACATCTCTCAGTGCATGCGTCCTGATACACATCTCTCAGTGCATGTGTCCAGAGTGATACACATCTCTCAGTGCATGTGTCCTGAGAGATACACATCTCTCAGTGCATGTGTCCTGAGAGATACACATCTCTCAGTACATGTGTCCTGATACACATCTCTCAGTGCATGTGTCCTGAGAGATACACATCTCTCAGTGCATGTGTCCTGAGAGATACACATCTCTCAGTGCATGTGTCCTGAGAGATACACATCTCTCAGTGCATGTGTCCTGAGAGATACACATCTCTCAGTACATGTGTCCTGATACACATATCTCAGTGCATGTGTCCTGAGAGATACACATCTCTCAGTGCATGTGTCCTGATACACATCTCTCAGTGCATGTGTCCTGATACACATCTCTCAGTGCATGTGTCCTGATACACATCTCTCAGTGCATGTGTCCTGATACACATCTCTCAGTGCATGTGTCCTGATACACATCTCTCAGTGCATGTGTCCTGATACACATCTCTCAGTGCATGTGTCCTGATACACATCTCTCAGTGCATGTGTCCTGATACACATCTCTCAGTGCATGTGTCCTGATACACATCTCTCAGTGCATGTGTCCTGATACACATCTCTCAGTGCATGTGTCCTGATACACATCTCTCAGTGCATGTGTCCTGATACACATCTCTCAGTGCATGTGTCCTGATACACATCTCTCAGTGCATGTGTCCTGATACACATCTCTCAGTGCATGTGTCCTGATACACATGTCTCGGTGCATGTGTCCTGATACACATCTCTCAGTGCATGTGTCCTGATACACATCTCTCAGTGCATGTGTCCTGATACACATCTCTCAGTGCATGTGTCCTGATACACATCTCTCAGTGCATGTGTCCTGATACACATCTCTCAGTGCATGTGTCCTGATACACATCTCTCAGTGCATGTGTCCTGATACACATCTCTCAGTGCATGTGTCCTGATACACATCTCTCAGTGCATGTGTCCTGATACACATCTCTCAGTGCATGTGTCCTGATACACATCTCTCAGTGCATGTGTCCTGATACACATCTCTCAGTGCATGTGTCCTGATACACATCTCTCAGTGCATGTGTCCTGATACACATCTCTCAGTGCATGTGTCCTGATACACATCTCTCAGTGCATGTGTGCTGATACACATCTCTCAGTGCATGCGTCCTGATACACATCTCTCAGTGCATGTGTCCAGAGTGATACACATCTCTCAGTGCATGTGTCCTGATACACATCTCTCAGTGCATGTGTCCTGATACACATCTCTCAGTGCATGCGTCCTGATACACATCTCTAAGTGCATGTGTCCAGAGTGATACACATCTCTCAGTGCATGTGTCCTGATACACATCTCTCAGTGCATGCGTCCTGATACACATCTCTCAGTGCATGTGTCCAGAGTGATACACATCTCTCAGTGCATGTGTCCTGATACACATCTCTCAGTGCATGCGTCCTGATACACGTCTCTCAGTGCATGTGTCTTGATACACATCTCTCAGTGCATGCGTCCTGATACACATCTTTCAGTGCATGTGTCCTGAGTGATACACATCTCTCAGTGCATGTGTCCTGATACACATCTCTCAGTGCATGTGTCCTGATACACATCTCTCAGTGCATGTGTCCTGATACACATCTCTCAGTGCATGTGTCCTGATACACATCTCTCAGTGCATGTGTCCTGATACACATCTCTCAGTGCATGTGTCCTGATACACATCTCTCAGTGCATGTGTCCTGATACACATCTCTCAGTGCATGTGTCCTGATACACATCTCTCAGTGCATGTGTCCTGATACACATCTCTCAGTGCATGTGTCCTGATACACATCTCTCAGTGCATGTGTCCTGATACACATCTCTCAGTGCATGTGTCCTGATACACATCTCTCAGTGCATGTGTCCTGATACACATCTCTCAGTGCATGTGTCCTGATACACATCTCTCAGTGCATGTGTCCTGATACACATCTCTCAGTGCATGTGTCCTGATACACATCTCTCAGTGCATGTGTCCTGGTACACATCTCTCAGTGCATGCGTCCTGATACACATCTCTCAGTGCATGTGTCCAGAGTGATACACATCTCTCAGTGCATGTGTCCTGATACACATCTCTCAGTGCATGTGTCCTGATACACACCTCTCAGTGCATGCGTCCTGATACACATCTCTCAGTGCATGTGT